TACCATAATTGGAAATTAAAGGATTTGAAGACATGTACCGAGAACTATAAGGTTCATCGGATATTTAATCCGGCCTGATAGATTTTAAAGGCAAGTGCATCCCAACCTCCATATGCAGGGCTGAACTTTCAAATCCATCCTAAACCTCCATATGCAGGGAGGGGTTATTAGGAGGCTACCAAAATTTTGAACAAAATAAAAGAACTCCACAATTAATTTAAAATAATAATAAAAAATAATTATAATAATTAAAACAAATTATATGCCATTTAAATTAAAAAAGAAAGAGGGGAGGAAAGGGCAAAATGAATTGAATTGCTTGATATGGGTAATTACATCACATAAGGACAATGATAAGTGGAGATGATCCGAATCCCAATATTATTATTCAATTTGCTTGTAAAATATTTTCAGAAGCACATCAACATTAACAGCTTGCAAACTTTGTGAGGTTCTCCTGTATATTTTTTTTTTGGATAAACTGAGTCTGAAAACTATCTTCTTTTCACTAAGGCAAATTTAAACTGCTACTAGCAACTTCAGTTCTTTTAAACAAGATTGGTGAAGGTGGTTTTAGATTTGTGTAAAAGAGTCGGTTAGCAGATGGTACTATAATAAATGTGAAGCCGCTTTCTTCAAAGTCAAGTCAAGGAAATCGTGAATTTGTAAATCAAATATGCATGATTTCTGCATTACAACATCCAAATCTTGTAAAGCTTTATGAATGTGAAATCAGTTATTGTTAGTAAATGAATGTTTGGAAAATTATAGACGTGCAGGCGATCTTTATGGGCCAGAACAATATCAGTTAAAGCTAGATTGATCCACAAGACACAAGATTTGTCTGGGCATAGCTATAGGTCTTGCTAATCTGCATGAAAAATCAATGCTGAAGATTGTTCATGGAGACATAAAAGCTACAAATGTGATGTTAGATATTGATCTCAACACCAAAAAAATCAGATTTTGGATTGACAAAGCTTGATGAGAAATGAAACACCCATATTGGCCATTGGATCCGCAACCCACTTCTTCAAGTCGATAGAAGGCGATATTCCTACAATAGCATCGATTTATATGCTAAGAATTCTTTCGCATGTGCTCCTATTTTTATATCAAGCTCCTAAATACAATATCTAAGAATCCTTTGCAGATTTATTAAAAGTGCTCATATACTTTGATGATGGTCGTGTTAACAGAAAATCTCAACTGAAGGGGACCTTATTAAAAAAAACTCAAACCCCAATGCAAAATGCAAAATTTTTAAAGTTATTGCAAAACCATCCCGTTGATGACCGTTTTGATAAAAAAATCTCAATCAGAGGGATCAATTCTCAAAACCTATTCAAATTTTAAAATCTAATTTCTGTCAAATTCTAAACATTTAAATGAAAATTTATTCACCCAAAACTTAAAATTAAAATACATCCATACTTTACAATGGTTTGACAAGGATGATGAATTGAAATGTATTACTATAATTCATTCTTAGTTAATTTATTGCCAGCAGGGACGTGGTGTGCTAATTGACTAAGTGGTTTTGCTGTTAAATGACACCTCTATATTACAGTCACGGCCAAAGCCTGTATGTTCCGTAATGGTTAAAAACCCCTTGAGCAATAAATTATAGGGTGTACTATACAAAACATAAAGCCCCATGTTATCTAAGTTTGACTTAAATTCAATATCTTAGACAGACATTCACCCTAGGTCTGCAAGATATTTTTGGATGAAGCAACTCATGGCTGCGGACAAGGTTCTTCTGTCAAGTTGGGTTGACTACCACCCTTGACTAAGTAGACCAGCGACCATAACAACTTGAGATGACAGAACCATGTGATCTTGATTGGGCCATCTTTATTCCTCCATCACCCGTTTTAGATTTATGATGATGAATTTCAAATCTTAAAAATACAAAAAATTTCAATTTAAAAATTGCTAAAGTTGCTTGTATTATATGATGGGTACTTAGTGCCTATCTCACGGCTAACCTTAATCAAAAGTTTTCTCTTTATCAGGAGAGTTAATTAACCATAGGGGCTTGCACTTATGAGAAACCAAAACTCAGATTATAAAATCTTCACAAAATGTGAGTGAAATCTCTGGATAGTGTCTTATCTAAAAGTCAATCTGCCTTCTGAAAATTTATTCTAAAACTTAAATTCGTTGAAACTCTCCCTGTCACTAAAAGGTGTGGAGAAGTTGGGACGCAAATTTTCGGAGTCCACTGCTTACAAACAGATACTCGACCATGTAATCCTTAAAATTTTTTGCCTTCGATTTTAAAAGGCCTTTAATTCTTTTTACATAGACAATTCTTTTTTAAATACAAGCCCTTGGACTCGATTCACTACTAGCTAGCAAGAAAAGATGATTAGGCTTAAAGAAACAAAATGCAAACATCTAACCTTGATGATGGCTGCGTTGATGAAAAATCTTGATTAGAGGGATATTATTTTTAAGATGCCCCCAAATTCTAAAGAAAATTATTTGGAGCTTAAAATCCTGATAAAATATAAAAAATTAATATTTACAAAAAACTAAAGATATTTCAAGAAAATTAATTGCTTTAAGTTTAAAGCAAAATATCCATCAACCCTTTGTATAGTTTGTCATTAAGCAGAATGAATTTACAATTAACCTCAGCTCATACTGAAATAATATCATATCAAGCACATCATTGTGATCACTATCAAAAAATCTCACTGTAGTAAGGCTGTGGCATGCGTCATCTAATCAGGTGGTTTAACACCAAATGACACTACTAAATAATGGTTATGACGATGGCCTTTTGATGTCATGGTTTCACCGTAGAAATGCACTTTTAAATTATTGGTACGACCAATTCTCAAATGTTTTCTAATGACTCTGCCCCTTAAGTTGTGAATCATATAGTGCAATTGATATGACTCAAAATCCTATGTTAGCAAATGATGACTTAAAATTGTCCTTTTAGTCAAATGTCTACCTCATATTTATAAGATCCCTTTGGATAATGCAAGCTTTGATTGTCAATAAGAATCCTTGGGTCAGGTTGTGTTGACTACCTTTACCGACAAATATCTGCTTTAAATTGGAGGTGATAAATTTCCTCTAATTTAAAATCAAATTGTTACTATAGTAAGCTAAGCATTTATCTCCTATCGACTTGCCTAAATTGAAAGGTTTCTATCTTCACAAGGAGGGTCAACTAACTATAATAGAGGCTTGCGCCTATGAAAAATTTGGAATAGAATTTTGAAAGTCTTGTGAAATGAGGGATAAATATTTGGATAGTATCTTATCTACAATCCAATCCGCCTTCAAAATATTTGCCCTAGAAGCATAAACTCTCTCAGGAGATTGGGTGCAAAATTTCAAAACTCACAGGGCATTGCTAACCATTGATGTATATCTGATGGGTTAGTTTCATCTGTAATACACCAAAAAAAATTGGACAAAATTCACAGGTTGCTCAGTCCTAAGCTAGATCATAAGTTAAAGATGGCGGTTCTCTATGTTTTATAGATGACCCAAATCCAGATAATTATCATGCATCTTATAACATCATGGGGACTGAGTTTTCGTAGGCCAGGTGATGAAAATAATTTTATGTAGAATTTAATTTCAGTGAAATTGTTGACTAATTAAAAAAAAAAAACAGATTGCTTTTAATGGAAGCAGTAAGATTTATCATAAATGTAAAGTAACTGACAACTTTCAAGGGAAGTCGTAAGATCTATCCAAAACTAAAATTACAGACAACTTTCAATGAAAACAGTTAGACCTATCACAAACGTAAACTACAGACAACTCTCCATGGAAGAATAAGACTTAATGTTTGGGAAACTTCTAAATAAAGTAAAAATCCCTAAACGAAACTAACAGGTAACTCCTAAGTAGAGCCGTAAGACCCATTTTAAATCAAATCTTCGGGCAACTGCTAAATGGAGCCGTAAGCCCCATCCTAATCAAATCTTTGGGCAACTACTAAACGAAGTCGTAAACCCCATCCTAATCAAATCCACGGGAAACTCCTAAATGGAGCTGTAAATCCCATCCTTATCAAATTTATGGGCAATTTCTAGGTGGAGTTGTAAGCCCCAAATTAGATCAAACTACTAGGCAACTTTTAAATGAAGTCATAAGCCCCAAACTAAGTAAATTAACCGGCATTCTAACAGATGTAAGCCCCAAACCACAACATGCACCCCATAATGACTTGAATTATAGCCAAACCATTTCAGTTTACTTGGATTCCCTGAGAGGAGTGAACCTATGGATGCTAATTAGATTCCCGGATGCTATGATCAATGATTGTTAGTATTGATAGATTGAAACCTACGATATTCTTGGGCCGAGTGATCCGTGAAATTTTAATCGGGTCTACCTCTATCTCCCACAAATAAAACTAAAACTAAAAAAATTCCTAAGCTATACTAGAGTGATTCATCCTTAATTGAGCATTCTCTCTTACGAAGTAGGAGGGGTAATTAACCATGATGGCTTGCACTCATAGGAAGTGAAGACTCAGATTTAACCGAATCCTGATATAATCCTTAGTAGAAATCTAGTTAATCAAAGCTCAATCTGCCTTAAGAAGAATTGAATCCTAAATCTGAAAAACGGGATACACGCTAAAGTGCCATTTTTATTTAGCAAATAGAAATGCCAGTGCAATACAAATGGCTTATGAGGAGTCCACTTAGATTGCATTTAACAATTGATTTTGTGGAAATATGGGGCATCCCTAGTAAGGAGTTTTACCTTACTCCAATCCATCGGAGCTTGACATTTGAAAATATATTTTTCCTCATAAAAAAAATGAACTATCATGTTTTCGTTTTATATCTAAAAGGAATCTTTGGTTCTTCATTAGAGGTCTGCGTGCAATTTTGCATATTTGAATCTACGCCTTTTTTTGAGATTTTATACTAAAATTATTTCATACCCGTGAGTCATTTGATTTTAGCAGAAGAACAAGTAATTTTCTTCATTACTCTTTTTTCATCATTATTTAGGATGGGCGAGTTAATGCCTTTTATTCAACACCTTCCATATATACCGATGCAAAATATGATGCAAATGAATTTTGGCCTCTCAAGACAGATGACTTTTTCCCGTGAGTTGAAGCGTTTTGAAAGTAGAAGTTTCTTGATCATTTTAGTTTATTTGACATTAATAATGCTGATGTTGGCTGGTAAACTTCAGATACGCAGATGGACCAAATAGATATTGGACAGGATACTTCAGCAGTAGGCCTGGTTTCAAAAGATTTGTTAGAGTGTTGAGTGCTTACTATCTAGTAGGGCTTCTCTTCTCTTTCATATTTTGAATATATTATCTAAAAAGTGTAACATCTAATGTTTTCTACCACTTCGTAGGCAGCAAGGCAACTGGAATTTCTTAAAGGAAGAAACAGCTCAGGGCCAACCACTGACAGTTTGGCTGATGCTTTAGCCACTGCTCAACATCATGACGCAATCAGTGGAACTGAACAACAGCACGTTGCAAATGATTATGCCAAACGGCTATCTATAGGCTATGCAGAGGTGAGAAATTCTGTTCAAGCTGTGTGGCAAGCCTCTCCTGGTTCTATTGGTGCTCCCTGTCATTGAACAAACTACCCTACCTTGGTATTTTATCGTCTTTTCAGTCTGAGAAAATAGTTGGGTTATCTCTCGGCTGCTTGACAGAGTCACTTTCAAGTTCTGATTGCTATGACCCCGCAACAAAGTTTGAACAGGTTTGATAAGCTGAAATTGCTGTTTTACATTGCAAGGAAATCTTTTAGATATCTTTGGTAAAATTGTAGAAATAGAACTTATAACTGTTCCATCAGACATAGTCTATGATAGTTCCACCTTCCAAGTGTTCTCCAGTAAAGCAATTAAATTGACCTAAAACTAACATGCCTCCTTATCATTGAAAAAATTAGATTGATCCACAACTAACTAGTCACTAAATTGGACAGGCCTTGAGTCAGCTAACTCCATCTCAAAGGGATGGATCTCTTCGAAGTGAGCTGCACTTCAAACCCTAGAATTTAAGATAACACTAAACTCTCTTCTTACAGCAACTAGTGGATACAATATACATTCTCAACCATTATGATTTAATCACCTTAGTGATAAGGAATGAGCTCTTGAGGGCTACTGAACGCCATATGCTATCCACAAGTCACCATATCGAATGCAGCAGCAACAATAATTGATTGATGCAACTTCATGAGAAACCGACTCCAAACACTGAATTCACAAATGGACACTCAAGGAAAATCCCCTTGTGTCCTGCTCAAGTTGCGGCCCAAGGAAAGAGATTGCATGCATGGATGAAGAAAATTTGAGGGAAGTTTGCACATAGATATTTTCAAATAATATCGAAATAAAATATTTATAATAAAAATAGTGTAAAAAGGAGTAAATAATAAATATAATAATAATTGGAAAAAATATACTTGTGATAATCAATATAAAGTCCTATGTAATAATAATAAATATATTTCTATTTAATAATAATAAAATATCCATGTTTGTATTTTTTTTAATTAAATTATTTATTAAATATAACTTTCAAATATTAGTATTTATTTTTTAATTTATTAAATATTTCTTTAATAAAAAATATTAATAATTCTATTCTAGAATGGTTCTAAATTAAAACCAGAATTATTAATAATTTTTTTTATTAAAGAAATGTTTAATATATATATGTTTTAAATACTATTACTTTAAATTATATTTAATAAATAATTTAATTAAAAAATAACTAAAATACTTCTTTATTTAACATCATTAACCTTAAAATTTGATGTCAGGACAAAAAAAGTCTATTTTTATAGAGTTGAGGGACCAAATTGGTCATTTAAAATAGTCGGGATCATTTTGGTCCTCACAAAGAGTTGAGTGACCATTTTGGTTCTTTTCTCTAAATGTTAGATTCCTATTACTTGAAGCTATGCGCTATGAAGACATAGTTTATCTTCTTCCACTTCATAGACTTATCAAGATCTTATCATGAATTGTTAATTAAAAATTATAATGAGATATCAACATAACATGGTGGGTTAATTACAATTCTAAATCATATTATCTCAATGGGAAAAAAAAAAACAAATTGCCACTAGTTTTCATTTTAAATTGTAAGAAAATCATGAACAATGTTTATTATTTGGATATCAATCAGGATCATATTTTTTTCTTAACATCGAAAGTGATGTAATGGAATCATAACATTCACCTTTTTATAGTTTATTATATCCCAACTTATAAATTTTCTATATTCTAATACATTTATCTTAGGAGCACCATTTAACACAGCTTACCCCTAGCTAATACTTTTCCATCTCCACGATTGGGCATTAAACAAGTTCACTATTGTCTGAGGTGTAATACTCTAACTTACCCCTGGCAGTTACTTTTATTGTCGGCACAATAAGGCATAGATTTTCTTTCTATTGTTGTTTGAGGTAGAGGGCAAAATCATTAATGCGTTAGTATATTGGTGTCCCCTACTAGTATCATAAAAGAATGAACTCCATCTATTAGTATGCACATGCATTTGTTGTTATATAACATTTACCTTTTGCATTCTTTACACCATGCCTTTAGTAATTTTTGCATACATTTCATGAAATATTCTTAGGAGCTTGAAATATGAAAAGTACTGAGTATTTTAATTCAATATGAGGGTTATATGTATGAGAACGAGAAAATCAATTTAAACAACTTTATGATAGTGATTATGTATTAATAAGAATATTATTCAATGTAGATAGGAGGCTATAATAATAAATGCACTAAGTTTAGATCATTGTTTAAACTTGCGCAATATGAGGCTCGCCTTGAGGCCTGCATTTGTGCAATTCCAGTAGAAAATGCCTCGAGGCTTACGCCTCGAATTTCTTTTATGAGGCTTGCGCCTCAATTTTGTTGAGGCCCGCCTTGAGGCTCGCCTCGCCTCACTGGTGTGAGGCTTACGTCTCACCCTTATATATGTATATGTGTATGTATATATATATACATATAAACTTACATTTACAAAAATCATAAAGTAAAGCCCCGATCAAATCATACTTCGTGCACCCCCAAGTTGCAGCAATTTCCTCTCAACCTCTAGTCCGTTGCCTTCGCCACAACCACCAATGTCATAGCCATCGTCAAGGATCACTTAAAAGCCGCATGCCATCACCACCTCTAAAATTTTTGGAGAAGAATGATAGAGAAGAATTAGAGCATGGTTCTAGCCATTTAAAATGTAATTTTGCTCAATAAAATCTTAGGTTTCCAAATTAGAGTTTTATGAAAATTTAATTTTGCATTAATATTGTTAAGGAAAGTTTAAAAATACATTATAATGATGAAATTTGAATTTTCCCATAATTTTTTAAGTTTAAAAAATTAGGGTTTTTCCTAATCTTGAGATTTTGTGATAAGTTGTTAACAAATGTTATTCCTAGGAGTCTTGGGAAGGCTCTAATTATAAGAAAATGAGATTTTTATCAAAAAATTATTTCCCTAATTTTTTAATTTTAATTAATCCAAAAAATAATTAGGTTTAATTATAATATATGTTAAGGAAAATATTTTAAAATGTAATAGGAAGGAAATATGTAAAATTTAGATTTCTAAAATTAGGATTTTAATTAAAGCCAAAATTGTATTTTAAAATTTCATTAATTACTTAGGTATAAAGTAATTCATAAGGGAAAATAGTAAAGAATAACTGTGAAAATAAGAACGTGTTGTATTAATCAAGTTTTTGTTAATTGGCTAGGGGTAAGTGACAAATTACTCTCTAAATTCATGTTCTTTCTCTTTTAAGATGTTAATTATTTTGTCTTGCATATGGATTTAAGTATGTTTATGACGCATTATTCTTTTAAGAGATTAATTATTTTAAATTGCATATGGCCTTGAGTGTATTGAAAATTTTAATGGTATTGTGTTTACATATGTCTTTAGTTCTTCCATTAAGCAACTTATGGCTTTAGTTTTTCTTCATGCATATTGTTGCATATTTAGATAGAAAACTCTATTCATATGTACAAAAGTTCACTTTTAGCATGAAAATTCTTAATCAAATCCATTTAGTGGATTGAAAATATGCATAGTTGATATGATAAATCACTTTGATATGAGGCGGAGTACCAATAAGGTGCATTTGCACAATATGTCTCTTCGGGGTAACATGATGATGAATGACCAAATATGAAAATATACCTGATCAGTACAATATGGATACTCTGGTACGGATGTTTATATATATGATATCTATGTTGTAAAGCAATGTAAGGAAGTTTAGAAGTTTTATGTCCTTTAAAAGCATTCAATCATAAATGCTTTATAGATAAATACAAGTTTAGTTAGCATGCATATTGATTTTTTCTATATTGCATATGAGTTTAGTTTACTCATCATCAAAACTTTTCTATAAACTGAAGAGCCACTAATAAAAAATTTCTATTTTACCTGTTGTCATTTGCACCTCGCCTTCTGTAAACATGTTCTTCTCTTTCAGCCATTACTTCTCTTAGGAATTTCCTGAAACATTTAAACTCGTGGTTTGAGTTTACTAAGTAAACTCAGTGGGTAACTATATAATTTATATAAAAATATAAATTAACATATATTCTTTCCTTTCTTAATCTTGTTTATTTCAATTCTTTAACTTAATACTTCTTTGAATATTTTCATTTAAAATAATTTGAAGCATTTGTTATCTTTGATATTTCATTTACATTTCCTTTTCCCATTTAATTTGCACAGGAGCACCGTCTCAAAGTACCTAAAGGTACAACCTTTTCCATTTAATTTCCTTTTCCCCATTTCCATAGAAATTTCCTTTTCCTTTTTCGTGCACGAGTACGGCGTCCCCAGCCAGTACCATAAGGGGGTGACTCCTGTCGTTTTCAATACCCTTTTCCTTTATTCTTTTCTTTTCTCATTTTCATCGTTATTGATACAATTGCATACAACACATCTTACTTGTATCTCTATAAATATTACTTGTCATTTGCATATACGAATCATGTACATGTATATATTTTCTTTCTAAACTTTACTTTCTAATTCTTTGATATACTCATAACATATCCTTTTTCTTTTCTATAATTGTACTCATACATGTCGTTGCTTATTTTAGTTAACTATTTCTCCAAAAGTAGAAAAAAATCATACATCTATCAATTTCGCATATACTTCTTTCTAAACAAAAATAGAATGGAAATAAAGAAATTTTAAACTTTTAAAAATACCCACTTGAACTTTTCAGGTCTTCGACGAAGGGTGTTACTTCGAATTTCTCTCCAAATCTCTATCATCAAGAAATAAAGTTTTTATGAATTTGCTTTATCAAATAAAACTCGAGAATAGTTTCGAAATAGAATTTCTTACAATTGGATTTTCCAAATCTCCCAAAATCCTTCTTCCCGAAATTTCCTTTTTCCTCGCTTCAATCCCTTCCTTAACCTTCAAGAAATATATCGCTCACTTTAAACGAAGGAGGAGAAGAAATTTATAGGAAAATCTAAAAGAAATTTCAACAAACCTTTTTCCTTATTTTTCCTCGGTCGTTTCTTCCTTTCGTTGCAAAATTCTCTCCAACCTTTGTTTCTATAACAATAAGAACGAAAAGGAGTTGTTAAATCTTACCCTCCAACGCGCTCGTTTGCTAAAATTGGAAGAAAACGAATTCTACCTTGCTCTCGCGTGAATTCCCGACCGTCCGCCCCTTCCTGTTCGCGCG